GCACCATTCATCCTCCTCAGAAGTACAAAGATTGTTGTGCACTTACCGATGAAGAAACTGAACCCGCTACGTTCAAAGAAGCTATGAAGAGCCCGCATAAAGACGAGTGGATAAAAGCTATGCTTAAGGAGATAGATTCTTTGAAAGAGAACAACACGTGGTCCCTTCAAGAACTACCTCAAGATAGAAAAGCCATACCTTGTAAATGGGTTTATAAAATTAAGGGAAACCCCGATGGCTCTATCGACAAATACAAAGCGCGTTTGGTTGCGAAAGGTTTCAAGCAACGCAAAGGAGTTGACTACCAGGAAACCTACAGTCCTGTAGCCAGATTCTCCACCATTCGATCACTGCTAAGCGTTGCTGCGAGTGAGAATATGTACCTAACTCAATTCGACGTCACCACAGCGTTCTTGTACGGTGAGCTCGAAGAAGAGCTGTACATGCAGCAACCGGAAGGTTTTCACGATGGCTCTACCCGCGTATGTCATCTAAATCGAAGCTTATACGGCCTGAAACAAGCGCCCCGCTGCTGGAATCATCGTTTCCATCAAGTAGTTGTTGAACTCGGATTCACACAAAGTAGGTATAGCTGATCCGTGTCTATACACAAAGAAAGTAGGGGGGAAACAGATCTTACTTACTTTATATGTCGACGACGGATTAGTGGCTGCTTCAGACAAACAGCTTGCTGAAGAATTTATAGAGAGCCTGAAAACAAAACTTAAAATTACGACAAAGACTGCGTCCTTTTATTTAGGAATGGAGATCAATCAATGCAAAGACGGCACGATTGTGATCCACCAGGAAGCATATACCAAGAAGGTACTTGAACGCTTTAACATGGCTAACAGTAATCCTGTCTCAACGCCGATTGATGCCGCAGAAAAGTCGTCTGCAACACAATCAGTTGAAGAGAAAGGACCCAACGAGGAGACTAACTTTCCTTATCGTGAAGCCGTTGGTGCGTTAGCATACCTTATGGTTGCGACCCGTCCTGATATTGCGTATGCTGTTGGAGTAGTATCTCGCAACTTAGAAAAGCCGACCAGAAGTGACTGGAACAGAGTCAAACGTATATTACGATACTTGAAGGGAACTACGTCTCTAGGTATAAAATACAAACCGAAGACACTGAATAGACCAGAACTTGAAGGTTTCAGCGACGCTGATTATGGTGGTGATGCTACTACCGGACGATCCACTACTGGAATCGTATGCCGATACGCAGGAGGTCCTGTGTCGTGGACAAGCAAAAGACAGACTTCAGTAGCGCTGTCTACAACTGAAGCTGAACTTGTGGCTGCCAGTGAAGGAGCACGAGAATTAGTTTGGCTGATTAGAATATTCGAAAACTTGACGAATAAGAAGAGTGTGCCGAATCTTCATGTTGATAACGAAGCAGCTGTACGATTGGCACACAACCCTGAGTTCCACAAGAGAACGAAGCATATACGTGTAAGACACTTTTATGTTCGTGAACTTGTCTCTAAAGGAACCATCTTAGTTACAAGAATTGGTACAAGAGACCAGCTTGCAGATATAATGACCAAAGGTCTTCCGAAACCCACCTTTGATCTATTGAAATCTGCACTAGCCATAGAGTAAGAAGTGAGAGCGCCTACCTCTTTGGCACTAGTTTTGGTTTAGGGGGAGTGTTGAAAGGAGACGGCAAACCAAACTAGTACAGCCTACTTGGTGATTGTCGTTGACTAGAAGACTCATGTAGCCTAGTAACGTTTTGTTTTAATTTTACTTGTCAAAAAAAAAAATACAATCGAGTCCTATACTAAAACAATTTCGGGTTTTTGTTGTAAATTAGCATTTTATCGAGGCTTTCCATATTAGTGCAACTACAAGATTATGCAGGGTTGCCAAATCTACTGCTTTTAAGCCAATTTTTTTTTGTAACTATTATAAATGCATTTGCCCAAAATAATGTTTTGTTGCAAAAAGAGAAAAAATTGTATAGTTTAAGATATTTGAAAATTTAATCTATTTAACTAATGTTAACAACTTTACTGTGATTTTTTTACACGGATAAACTCAATTGTCCCAAATCCCAATGTATTATTATACCACAGAATAAATAATAGTATCAGTACAGATTACAGAATAGTGATCTGTGGTACAGAAGTACCACTCGAGTGGAGTGTTCCTTCTGTAATGATGCTATTCTTAATTTTGTGCTACTAGTGCTACTACACAAATCATTTTCAGAAAATAACGATTCTTTCTACGACTAATCAAAGAAATTCAGATCACCTAGTGGTAAAACCCAGTTATATTTAAAAATAAATGTTGCCTCTATTTCCGTCGCATAACTCTCATATTATATTAGTGTGTGTGATTTAACTGACCATTTATGACAGTCTAGTGGTTAGTGTTATTTCTTATTCGTTTAACTTTTTTGTTTTCTGAATTTATGATGCTCTGATTTTATCTGTTTAATAAATACCATAATCATTAAAATTCATCCATAGTAAATTACAGTATTTTATTGTTTAGTTGGTCTTAAACACAACAACTAAACAATCAAGTAAGAACTACCTTATAGGCCTGCAAAGAGGAACAAGAGGTAACCAAGAGGAACAAAAGTTAAGAATATTTTTGTACTACTACCTACTATTTTAGTAAGTCTGTCCAAAAATATTTAGTTCATCGATACTGGAATTTTCCAAGATTAAAAAACCATTTCTGGACAACTCGTTTTTTTTCCTCCTAAATCTTCTCATTCTTCCAGACAGCAATCATTATAACAAATCGAAAAATCTAATTTAAATTTCAGTAAACTACTATTATAATTTCTGAAATGAAATTATAAATTATTGCAGTTTTGAGAAAACGTCGTTTCTATATTAGCATAATCTTTAGCCGAATACGAATAAAACTTTTGCTACCAATGCCCAATAAAAATAAAAGATTGACGTGGCGTAACGCGTCATTCATATAATTTACAACGGATCCGACATACCGATCAGTCCATTTGTCAAAGATCTTGGCTTATGGATTGACTCCAGCCTCACTTGGTAACAGCATGTTGCAAACGTAAGTCAAAAAGTCCCTGGAACCTTGCGATCACTGTATCGGCTAAAGAACTGTCTTCCACATACTACTAAGTTAATGCTTGTACAGGCTTTGATCTTTCCAATCATCGATTATGGTGATGTATGCTATCACGACCTGAATGCAGATCTACTCAACAAACTTGATCGACTTCTCAATAATGGCATTCGATTCATCTTCAACCTCCGCAAGTATGACCATGTGTCTGCCTATCCATCACAGCTGTCATGGTTACGTCAGAGCCGTAGCTTGAGCGCCTTGACTACCCTTTATTCTCTTCTTAATAATCCTACAGCTCCCACTTATCTTACTTCACAGCTTAAACCGCTATGCTCTAGCCATGACAGAGATCTTCGGTCCACTAATAATCTTTTACTCTTGTATCCAATCCACACTTCTTCTCTTGTTCATTCTTCATTTGCTGTCCAGTCTATCCTACTATGGAATGCGCTCCCACTTGAGATCAGGATGTCAGGAAGTCGTGACACGTTCAAAGCTAAAGTTCGAGAATTCAACAGGAAACAGCTAGCAGAAATATCCTCATGATGTCGTCACCCAAACTTTATTGTATTTATTATATTCCGTATGTATAATATATTAATAATTATCCATGTATTCGTCTATCGATTTTAAATAGTATTATCAAAGTAATTTTATATTTTCATAGCTTCTCTTCTTATTACATAATACATGTGCACCTGCCATGTCCCTTACTGGTTGACTGGTAGATAATGCCATGTGGCATTAAGTCCGCCTCGTGCAAACTGTAATGCAGGAAGTGTAAAAATAAAAATAAAATAAAATATGGATGACGATTATGTTTACTATCTTATATATAAAATTCTCGTGTCACAATGTTCGTTCCCGTACTCCCGTCCTCCAAAACGGCTTGACCGATTCTCATGAAATTTAGTGTGCACATCGGGTAGGTCTGAGAATCGGCCAACATCTATTTTTCATACCCCTAAATGGTAAGGGTGACCCATCCCTATTTTGTTTTTGTTTTGCAATACAACGTTTGCCGGCTCAGCTAGTTTAAGTATATATTTTTTAATAATAACTTTACATTCTCACACACGTCAGTTCAATCCCAAACTAGACAGAGCCTATACTATGGAAACCAACCTGCTGAAAAATTTACTTATATATTTCTAAGTAAATTATAACCAGGCACAAAACAAACAATATTTATCCTTGGTGGGATTTGAAACCACGACCTCCGGCTTAGCAGTCAGGGTCACTAACCACTAGACCAACAGGCCCTTTTACTTTAAAGAATAGTGAGATTTCTACAAATATTAAGAAAAATTGATAGAATACGTCAGGTTCAGGTGAAAAGCGTGAATAAACAGTATTTTAGTATATTAAGTATGGTCATCCTCCAATAGAGATATCTACTCACACAAAGTAACTTTTATTTTTCTCTTAAATGTTGTCTTTCAAAGTTGATAACTTACTAAATATTACACTGACTACTTAAAAAATAATTTTAAGTAGTCAGTGTAATTTGAGTCCTAATGGATTTTTATTTGGCATAAAAAAATCAAACTTCCATTTAAAAAGTTAAAGTCTCCTTTGTGTCAAGAGAAGCAATACTAATGTTGTGAATGTCTTCTCTAATGAAACAAAATACTAGAGGCATTAAAATATGAATAAGTTATGCAAACATCAGAAAATATTAATAGTAAAAACTTTTTGTAGAAAATTTCAGATGTCTGTTTTGAAATTCCATTTTTTTCCGTCTTATAAACTGCAACATTGAATTGTTCAAAGATCTCAGTTATATATAATACTAATACTACACTATTCATTTACTCATGCTCTATGCTTTAGATTCTGACTTTTGTAGTTTAGTTAGCAGTGTGTGTGTCATGTCCGTTTATCAAAATTTGTGCAATAATGTGATATTAATAAGTTAGAGTAAAAGTTCAATTATGAATAAAGACATGAAGGATACAAAAGAAAGAACGATGTCTGGCAGTAGTACCACGCTTTACAACAATGAATATATGGATGCCTTTAGTTCTATCAATGAAAGACCGGTGGATGATATATCCTTAGAATTTTTCTATAAACCTCATACTATTACACTTCTGGCGGTGTCAATTGCGTCAGTAATTTACACTGCGTTCGTAAGGTAACTTTTTAATCATTCTAATTTTATTATACAGAGTTAATAAATTTCCGTATGATGTAACCACTCAGGTAGGATGTAGACTATTTATTATATTAAAACAACGCTGTTAAATTAATTTAAACAATGATATTTCTTTTATCAATGCTTGGCAATTCATGCTCATCATATTTAATTAAATTCTGTCAAAATCAATTGCAGTTTTTAGGTATCATTATGCATTAAGTAAGATACAGTAGATTAACATAGATATTATTCATCCCTATTTATTTAATTTAATGTTTGTCATATTACTAATGCATTTAACACTTTCTGCTTACAGAGATGAGTCAAGTATTCAAGACAACATTTGGTCAGGAATATGCTGTGTAGTCTTTTTCTTTTTAATAGTATCTGTGCTCACTTTCCCTAATGGGCCGTTCACTCGGCCTCATCCTGCTGTCTGGCGAATAGTTTTTGGCATGTCAGTACTGTACCTCCTGGCATTGCTGTTCTTATTATTTCAAAGCTATTCTACAGTTTATGAGATAATGTATTGGATTGACCCAAATCTGAGAAACTTCCACATTGACATGGACAAGGTATCTGAGTTGTTTAACAACTATTAGTAGATAGAAACTTGTATGATGGTACCATAGCATTATTAAATGTCATTAATATTTTCCAGGAGTATGCAGTTAACTGCTCTGATATAAGCCTATCTAAAGTATGGTCTCACGTAGATGTATTTGCTTGGGGTCACTTTTTTGGGTGGCTCTTCAAAGCTATTCTATTCCGACACGCTGGCTTGCTGTGGGCTATATCTATTATGTGGGAAATAACTGAAGTTGCTTTTGCACACCTCTTACCTAACTTTTTAGAGTGTTGGTGGGATTCGGTAATTTTAGATGTTTTGATGTGCAATGGCCTAGGTATATGGTGTGGACTTAAATTATGCAAAGTCTTAGAAATGAGAGAGTATAAATGGGTCAGTATAAGGTAAGAGACATTAATTATTTTTGAAATTTATGATTTATTGCATCAGTCAAATACATAATAATCATCATCATCAATCATCATCAACAGGCTTTAACAGTCTACTGCTGGACATAGGCCTCTCCTTAGAAAGGAGGTTTTGGCCTACTATACCACGCTGGCCAGATGGGTTGGTATAGGGTTTGTTTCAAGTTTTCCTTCTCTTTGCAGTTGCTGATGTCCTGCGCAGTTTGCTCCCTTAGTCGTCTCTTAGGACACCCACGGATACATAAAGCATCTGATAATTACTTTCTGTTTGATCAGCCTTCATTTTAATACTATTATAGTGTCAGTTATCACACAAATTTTCTCCTATTATTTTTTTAGAGATATTTCTTCAACAACTGGAAAAATTAAGAGGGCCATACTACAGTTTACACCTGTGACATGGACACCGGTGCGTTGGTTGGATCCTACAAGCACATACATGAGGTTTTGTGCTTTAAGTCAACTAGTTGTGTTTTGGCAAATCTCCGAGTTGAATACATTTTTCTTAAAACACGTATTTGAGATGCCGCCATCACATCCACTAGTTATAGCACGTCTTTGTCTTATAGGAGTTATTGTTGCACCATCTGTAAGGTCAGTACAGTAATAAGACTTTCTTAAAGTTTAATTTACATGTTAGTACTTTGTTTTCTCTCAAATCTTTATTATCTTAATTTGGATTAACTATTTTAAAATCATTCTTTTTATTTTAAAGATATTCTGCATTATCTCTTATAATATTAATTGCTAAGTCTATAAAACCAAAAATTTACTAATCTTTTTCCTATAATAAGGATTAATCACTTTTTATGGCGAACCACATTCATATCTAATTCTATAATTAGAAAATCCTTATGAAATCCTTGTTACAACAAAGTCAATAATTTCATTTTTTAAGTGTTGTATTGTAAACCAACAAATGATCAGACATACTTTAATGTATGAACCAAACAATTTTACTAATGCTGACACACTTATTTGCCTTAAGTGTTCACTACTGATTTTATAAAACTGATGTATGTGAACACATACACAGTGTCAAAATCCAGACTCGCTAAACCCTTTCCTTGGACGTAGTCTTTGTTGCTCAAATGACATGCAAAAGATCGCACCAAATATGGGGAATATTGATAGCGATCTTCGTCGCCCTATTTAGGTGAACGTAAGCATAATTAGCATTAGACTAACTGGTCCTTAGATTTGTATGCTAACGTTCTTATTGGGTATATTAAAGTAACATTTAAGTCACTTTATGATTTTAAATAACAACATTGAGAAAGTTTTATTTAGAAATTATATCTTTTAAATAACAATACTATCGAGTTTTGTGAAAATGTATACATTTGTATGTGTGAAGTTAATACAAATATATTCTTATTTTGAATTTCAATCTACCGGTTGTATGTCATCACACATAACATCAACAGCCTCTAATAGTCCCTTGCTGAACATAGGCATCTCTTTAACAAGGAGGTTTTGGCCTACTATACCACGCTGGCCAGACGGGTTGGTATAGGGTTTGTGTCAAGTTACCGTTCTTTTTGCAGTGCTAGTGTCCTGCGTTGTTTCATTCTTAATCCGTCACTACACGGATTGTTGTATGTCAACCGATTGGTAACCAATGATGCTACCAGTAGTTTAGAGATCACCTGGCTGTTTGTAGTATTTCCATAATTTTAATTTAATAAGCACATATTTTTATACACTTCGGCACTCTTTCTGCACTTCTTTTACACATAACAATAATCTTACACACCTCAAACACGGCCGTCTGATTCTAAATAAGGCAGAGCCTGTAATATAGTAACCAGACTGCAGAGAAACATAGTTCTGTATATCCCAGACACACACACTTATTTGCCCTGGTCTGAATCGAACCCACAACTGCTGGCTTAGTTATCAAGGTCACTAACCATTAGGCCAACAGGCCAATCAGTCAGACATAAACATTAAGTATAAGGATAAATAACTTTCTTAATGTATTAATAAATAAGTTTTCTTATAGGCAGTATTACACGTATGTAACAGACCCAAATTGCAAGCGCGTTGGTACTCAGTGCTGGGTGTATGGAGCAATTATGGTTACTGAGTCAATGTTGTGCATCAAGAATGGCAAGGAACTTTTTGGTCAGGCTCAAGTGTGCAATGTTATTGTATGGCTAGTCATACAAATTCTAGTCTCAATTGCAGTTGTGTACGGTGTAGTACTATACCATCGATATATAGAGGTAAACTTTGTTTAAACTAACATGAATACCCATATTAGATGTAAGAAATGTTTAATCACAGTGTAAAGTATTCGTCATTGTCAGTTGCAGTTGATATTTTTTTATACTGCAATTTGAAAATAATATATTTTACGTTTATAAGTACACACATTTGTTCTTTCAAAAATTTTTCTCCTTCTAATAAATAATCATTTTAATATTGAACTCGTCCCTGGGATAGATAATATTATTAATCATTTCAAGTATGTAATTGAAGCAGAATTATAAAGTCTTAAAATTTTATTTTCAGCCAAATAGTGATTCCAACACTGGCAGTCCTAAAAAAAAAGGAGAATAAGACGGTAAGTTTACTATTTACCTACTCCCATTTTAGTTAAAACGTCTGTGGCAGAAAGAAAACAAGCAGTAATGATTTTCATAAATTATTATTTAGGCAAAAAAATCGAAGGTTTGTAAAAAAAATATGTACCATTTGGTGAAAATAAACATACTAAATCAAACAGCTCATTAACATACGTACTAAATCTAATTTTCATCAATGTGGACCGAACTCGACTCGGGTGTTCCACAGTGATATTCTTTCTCCTCTTCTCTTCTCTTTAGTTATCTATCTTATAACCCATGAACTTCGGTGTTCGCATCATTTGTATGCAGACGACCTACAGATCTATTCACATGCAAAAGTAGAAAATTTGGACGAAGCTGTAAATAGTATTAATCAAGACTGAAAACTGGTCCAACATGTTTGATTTAACGGAGAGCACATCAAAATGCTTAGCGATCATCATAGAATGACAAGCAAAATTGACCCTGATAGTATGACTGAAATTATCTTTAATTTATACTGTTTTGCCTGTATACGTCGATGCAACTCTAAATTGGCAAACGCAGGTAACTAACGTCAGCCAGAAGGTTATGAATATATTTCTTCCCAATATAAACATAGATGCTTGTGCAGTTTAATTTTTAAACTCATCGACTTTGGTCATGTATGTTATCTCGACTTAATTGCAGATCAGCTTAATAAATTAGATCATGCAATCGATTCATATTCAACCATTTTTTTCTGTTATCTCGGACTCGAACCGACCAAAAACCGCACTCCGTCTCAGGTACCAGTAGCTGGGGCACCAGGTGTACAATAGAAAGGAAATCCCTGGTACCCCGAGCCATTTACGGCTTGTAGATAACCCCCTCGTGTGTGGGAACCACGGTGTTCCCGTATTGCGCGTCGCACCGCCAACCCGTCCTGCTTCTGATAGAGTGACAGATAGCCTCACCTATCACCCCCGGCATGGGCTTATGGAGGACGGAGGTCGGTATCTGGCCCGTTCCCGGGCTTGGCGAACTGGGAGAGTTCCAAATCTTTCCCGGTCCCGCTCCGCCGTCTCCTTCGCAAGCATAAATTGCTCATAGAAGGAAATAGCGTAGTCCCACGCGCTCTCGTGCCGTACCATGGTTGCAAATATGTTACCAAGCGAGAGCACTCTTACTCCGATGGCCGCCACGAGGTCACGCCTATGCTCATCCCACGTCGGGCATTCTGCCAGCATGTAGAGCGCCGTATCCACGGCCCGGTCATTGCAGTGGTGACACTCAGGCGTTGGCTCTCTGCGGATCAGACCCAGGTGATCACGTGCGTCAGCCGGTACCAGAGCGCCCCATGATGCCTCTCGAGCCAATCCTCCATAACGGGTCTTACCCCCGCAATAGCGGCGTGCCCGACGCTTGGTTGTCCAAGTCGTTTTTTCTACTCCTCCATAAGGACCTGGCGGAGTTGGGATTTCTGATCCTCGATTTCTCGAGGCTCAGGACGCCGACCCAACTCCTGCGCCTCCTTGCGTCACTGATACAGAGCCGCAAGGGCTCTCGCCTCCAGGCCTCACGGCGGAGTTCCGGCCAGGAGACTCGTCCCTCAAGGATCAAGGAGATCATGCGGTTCCCCCTTATGACCCTGATAGCGAGCACTCGCTAACGGCGCCGTTGCTGGTCTTCAGGGCCTCCGCGATTCGCTTATCGTACGCAACTATCATGGTTACCTATAAGACAGCACCGCAGTTCGAGGGCTCTGACTACGCTGTGCTCTCTTCTTCACTCACCTACCTATTTAAAATCCCACGTTCTTCCTTGTTCAATCGGTAACTCTTTGGAACACACTCCCACTAGAAAACAGAATGTCCACTAACCAATCCACTTTTAAGTCTAAACTACGGAAGCTCTATAGCTTGAAGAGACTTGTCGACAACACTTGGAGTCATCAGAACAACACTTTAATAGTGTCTTTATGATTTATGTATTATATTATATGCATATATATTCATATATATATATAAACAGTGTGTAAGGTACATCGTAGCGAATAGTGTAAGGTATATCGTAACGAATACTGAAATAGTGTATACAGACCATGATTCTAAGTCCACAATCATTGGAATTTTCTGCCTGAAAAATCAACATTTTAAGATCCCTCATAAGATCACTTTCTTGTCCGTCTGTCCGTGTGTCTAGGTACTGAGGTCTATGGACCCTATTAGGTTTATAAAAATCCTGAGTCAACTCGATAAAAAGATATGGGCAAATTTCGATTTTCGCGAAAACTTGTAAGTACCAAAATTTACCTTAATTTTCAACTTTTTTATTTTTAGAATGTTCTCTTTACTTGTGCTGTAAGACCTTGTTTTTAACCAAAAGTGTCAATGCTAGGTCAACCGGAAGTAAGTTTTGGGTCGAAAACCTATATGGTAGTTCCCGTTGACCTAGAATCACGAAATTTGACAAAAACAAACGTCTTACAGCACAAATAAAGGAATAATTCCAAAAAAAAAATAATTGAAAATTAAGATAAATTTTGGTAGGTCAGGTACGAGTCGTTTCTTAAATTATTTAACGCTTGCTTAATCTCATGATATTTCTTGTACCTTTTAAGTTTCTTGAACCTTCGATCTGAGATATTTTATCGGTTCAATGCTTATCATTATTACATAAAAATATAAACAAATATTTATAATAATAATAATACTAGCAACACTTAAAGAATTTTAAATTGCAGTCGGAAGTTTTCTTACAAATTTTCGAAATAAACAAATTTTCTCTATATTTACTACACCGCAAAACCATTAAAAAATAAAATAAACGAGAATAAAATGAATCCTTATGGAAATAGAATAAAAAGAAGTTTAAAATAAATCAACCAAGAATATCTATAGTAAGGCATGACGTCTAACGTCATGTCAAGACACAACAAGATGTTTTTCATGTAAGAAATTCCATTGAAAAGTGATCCAAGTGAAAGATAACAATAGCTAGATCCAGAGCACTTTTAACAACTCCGGACTCGTCGCTTCGCTCAGCCTGCCGTCCCCGGAAGCCACAGCAGAAGTTCCGGCCGTGGGTGAGGCGTCGAACTCGACTTCAAGCGACGAGTTTTTCTCTCCACCGACATCGCCAACACCTGTACGTCGACAGGAGAGAGACCGGCCACCGACTTGCCTGGGATACCGTGGTCCATCGGCTTCGAATAGTCTTCCCGCTATTGGTGGTAATGTGCGTCGCATGAAATAGACTTCTTCAATGAACGAGAACGTTATGCGAGCATATTTTGTGGCTAAGAAGGAGAAACTAATCTCACTGCATGTCGTAATCGTTTACTAGCTCTGTTTCAGGAACTTGAAAAAAAACCAAAAAGCCAAACCATAGATAATTTGTTGGATAGCTCTGTACTTGAAAGGCTACGCTCCTGCTGAAGGAGAGGAAATTGATGCTTCTTCTGCAAGTAGTACAATGATATAATAAGGAATACTTCGAAAGGATATCCTGGAATATAGGTCTATAAATTTTGTAAACAGACCACGTTTACCTCATTTGCCGATGCATAAGCGAAATAAAGCGCTAGTGTGTGCGCTTGATTTTATATTACCAAAATATTTTGTAAAAACCTCTGTGATACACATTTAATTATGTATTGTGCGGCCATTACTGCATGACGAGTAGCTGGTGTCAAATTCCCAGGAATTGACATGGCTCCTCGACTTAAGTATCTGGTGCCGACGGTGCAATACAGGATCGAACGTCGTATTGCAGATGCAAGGGTACTCATTGGCAAGCTTATCTGTTTCAGATCGGGCAACACACGCCCGAGAGTAATGTGCTATTTGAATCAGGCTTTTTCGGGAATCGATATCAGGTCTGTGATTATATGGCACGAGTTAGAGCGCATTGACTTTCTGAAACAGAAGGTTTATGCATGGGCAAACCGTATACGAAGGTAAAAAAAAAGAGTGGACCAATATATTCAGAATCGCACATTCCAAAGTGGGTTTATAGAAGGTGAGAGCAGCCTGATTTAGTGAGTGGTGTAAATCACCCAGATGTTAAAATAACTAATACATTTTGGCGTAACATATGGTCGATGCATATCATTCACACATAGGGTAAATGGATGCGCCATGGGAGTGGGAGTTCTCTCGCTCGATAGCCTGATTGCGGCTATCGTGCGGAGCGAGAGTGCGTGGAACTCTGCCGTCTTCTTCCGCGAGCAAGTTATGCTCGCGAAGGAGACGGCGGAGCGGGACCGGGAGAGGTTTAGGACCCTTCCGGCCCGCCAGGCCCGGGAACGGGCCAGGTATCGCAGGCGACTCAGACGCCGGAGGTCGCAGAACGACCTCCGTCCTCCATAAGCGCAGGCCTGGGGGTGACAGGTGAGGCCATCTGTCACCCTAGCAGAAGCAGACCGGGGTGGCGGCGAGCGCGTTGCGAAGCGCGCTCGCTTCCAGGGAGCAGAGGGAACATGGGGTTCCCACACGGGGGGCGGTCGTCTACCTGTTGTTGTAGATGGCCCGAGGTATGTCGGGGCACCAGGGATTTACTTTCTAGGGTATACCTGGTTCCCGGGTATTAGTACCCGAGACGGCGTGCGGTTTTAGTCGGTTCGAGTCCGACATGCCACCGATAGGTGGTATCCGAGGGGATTTCCGCACGGAAAAAAAAAGAAGTGTAAATGGATGCGAGATGTCAAACGATCATGTGAGTCAATCAATACAATGGAGCCAGTATCAATTTCAGACATTGATATAGTTTATGCAGTTCGTTCGCTACCGAATGGAAGATAACACCTCATATTGCGAACAATTCTATTCTTAGAATAGATGTAGAGGTAGGGCACGTGGCACTAAAGTGCCTCTTTATTGACACGACTATTAACCAGCAAGTCTCAGGCCGCTCTTGAGGGTGATGGAGTTGCACAAGATTGATACAACACTATGCACTTTTCTGGAGACATATATGCGGCTATGGAGAACGGTTCTTTGCTATCCAGGATATCGGCAATCTAGAGGTGAT